AACGATATGGCATTTTTTGGAATGGCCAGAACAGTTGGCTTTGGTTTGACACTTATGACATTCCTCTTATTAAGTAAATAAATTTCTTGTATGACAACGGTTTAAAAGCGATTTATCTGTTAGTTTCTTCCATAAAAAGCTCATAAGTGAAATTGACATATTTGTCAGTAGCCACTGGGCTGCGAAATTTCAATCTCAACAATCTATATTATGAGTGGCTATTTATATTATTAGTTTACTATGCAATGTTTTAATTAATTTTAAGTTGCACGTGTTTTCTTAATCCTGGTTTTATTAATTAACATCTTGGGAATTTCACATTTTTGTGCAGTTTTTCAATTCATCGACAGCTTAGTTTTGGTCGCAGAACGCCTTTTCATTCAGGCCCATTCCAACCGGCTTTATTCTGGTCAATCCGAGTTCCGAAATCATTGCCAACTCCTGTTAGCTGCTTGCCGCGTCCTGGTTGATCAACCTTGCCTATTCATGACGCAACAACTGCAACATCGATTACTTAACCACTCTCCCATGGCGTCGACAAATAGTTCAGTCATCTCTGCCCACGATTATGAGCTGCCCGTAAATAACGCCTACAAACCCTCTGTAGATGACATCGCCCGTCTAGGCTTGGCTCTTCTCCGGCTTACTAGTTTGGCTGATACACCGTGCGTTGGATTACCTAATTGATCACTTCATTTTTCCAAAACTTTTTCTTTGATGGAATATTTTTTGCGATGGTTTTTGGTTAATCTGGAATATATAATTCTTATGATCTCATATCTTCAACGTTTTTCGGCTCTCACCTTAAGCTTCTGCTGCTAAATTTGAGCGCGTAAGCAGTGGCAATTAGCCAACTTCTTCTTATTACAAGTTTAATATCATGTCTTAAAGGCGGAGTGTTCTAGACTCAAGCTGGTTCTTAGCGTATTTTTTTTCCTGAGGCATCCCTACATCATCCTACGGTTAGTAAGCCTGGATAAGGCAGTCTTTAACCTATATTCGTATTAGAGTAGGGTTTCGAGACCACCAGTAAATCAGTGTAATGAGATGTATTCACCCTATTTCGT